AATTCTCCTTTTTCGACTAGTAACCTCTGTTTTTAATATTTAAATGTCAACTTTGGCAGTTAGACATTATTGTGCCCAGTTGCAACGACTTACGAAAACAAGATCCAGAACTTGCAGTGCGTCTAAGTAACTATGTTATATTCAAGTTATAATGCATGCTTAACTTAAACACAAAACTTTTAAAAATCATGAGATTTTGCGCGAAATAAGAAAGGCCTGAAAAGGAATGGAAGTAGCGAGTTTAGGACTTGTATGAGTGGCGGAAAAAATTCGACAACCTTTTTTTGATCAAGGATTTCTTGGTCAGCAGCTTTTTTAGGATGGGGCGGGACAAGTGGGGAAAAAATTATCAGCCCATGTACACATATTAAGCCACTAACTGTTCAAAAGCATTTCCACGCAAATCCGTATGACTCTGATCGCAGACATATCGCAAGCCTTTGTCTTTAACCCTTTGAGTTACCACTATTTGCAAACAACCGCTAACTGGATGCACTCCTCGATGTAAGCCTAGTGGATGCGTACCTTGCATAATGACTGCTGCCTGTTTCTGCCGTTGTTTCATTAATTCATATTGCTTTTTCAGTGTCGCTAAATCATTCTTCGTCGCATTAATTTCTGCAAATGCTTATCAGTTCTGGAAATGCCGATTACAACAAATGCCACACCCACAATGCTCAGTAGCAAGATGAGCAACTCTGCTGGTAAGAGAATCACTGGAGACTGTCGCGCAAAACTGGAAAGAGTACCTGAGTTACTGGAAATCGCATCCACCTCTTCATCTGCAGGCATATACAGTATGTTATTGACTTGATGTTGGAACAGTGAATAGCTTGGAGTAACTGGCTGTATATTAAACGTGTAGCGTTCACGCAGCTCAGAAATGCCCGGATAGGGTATTGACGACATTGAATAAAGGATCTGCAAAATAATAGCATCAGTCTTTATTACAGCTACTAACATGCTTCACTGCAGGGATGAGTCCAAAGAAAATAGGCCTCACTTGTTTGCCTTTTGGAGTACAAGACGTTTTTACGTAATAAATTCTAAAAAATTATGCTCAACGATGTAAATGTCAGTCAGCAAATGACAAAATAATGTTCGAATTATTGAACCACCACGCTCTGACTCCCATATTAGCTGCTATTTCACAGTCGCGTTTTTGCCACAGTTGATTTAGCTCGCAACTTTTTTACTTCTTTTTCAGGCATCTTTAATCCCCGTCATCTCAAATGGGCGTTCAAGTGGATCACTCCATCGCACAGGCACCATTCCCTGTGTTCTTTTAACACTGCATCGGTATTAGTTGATAACCGCTTTGACCTGTTATCTCTAATTTCCGCAACATAACCAGCTCAGGTCTTTTTCCCGGGGTAAACCGCACAGACAGTATTGCTTACTTCAGTTTACTAGAGATGAGCTGCAGTCTGCAGACACATATAGTGCGTTGTTTCACAGCTCGCTGGACCACAGCCAGCTTTTATATTCAACAAATGTGGTATTTTATGCTTCACCCATCCAAACAACAGAACTGACAACACAATGAGAATGAACAGAGCCGCTTTTACAGTCGAAGTTGTGTTGGTATTGGAAGAGGCGTCGCCCAATTTGATGAAGGCTACCAATCCGGTTCTGTTTCTTTTTATTCCCACATTCAACAAGCCATTCACCGGCACTGTTTTTCTTAAGTAGGTTTTAGCTATCGGCGAACTCGTCAGGCTGATCTTTGAATCTCTTATCGAATTGGAAGCAAGACGCACTCTCCATCCATTTGGCTTTTCCTCCGTGCTCGATTGCAATTTATAAAGATTGCACCCTGAATTTTGATACATACATAAGACACTGGAACAAATGTAAGTAGATTTTCAAAATTTAGGCAGCATAACATACGTCGATAAAGTCGTTGATTTCATTCGGCCGCATCTGCATAATACCAAGACACAGTGACGAGCCCATTAAGCTATAAAATTCGTCTGCTGTTGTCGTTTTCAAAATCTTCCTAAAAATAAATTGTTCACACGTGTGTATTAGTGAATAGCACTCTGAAAGTAAACGACCACTCAAGCGGCCTCGAAAAGGTGGCGCACGTGAATCGAGCAGACAGTGAGTAATAACTGAAGTTAATCAAGCTCAGGACTGAAGAGACTGGTACAGCTACGTCCAGCTTGTAGCAGCGTTCTTCCTACGTCATTAACATGGGACCCCAGCAATGACTGTACCAGGCGGTCCTGGTGTTCCTAGCTCTCAAACAAACCGTAGTGCATTGAAATATGCAACTGCCGGAAAGATGATTGTAACTCTGTTCTAAATATGACTAAAACAACCGACTGGGCCAGTGAAGGAAAATGGCCCACTGCTTTCTTAGTTTCTCATGGCGATAAGGTCGTCCAGAACGAAGAAATGAAATTCGGCCGGGAAAGGCCAAATCTAGTAAAAAATGAACAAATGAAAACGGAAAAAATATAACAAAGCAGTTCAAAAAAGCAAAAATTAGGCCCGAAATCACTGCGACCACCGCTAAAAGGCCATGTACGCATCAGTGCAAATACTAAATAAATAGCAGTGCGTACCAGGTCAGTCTATGCGATCACGCGTTTTGTGCAATTCCATCCACCGAGCGATTGACTGATAATGATTTTCACTGCTTTGAACTTTGGTCTGTGCAAAAATAATTGAAATGTTCAAAAATAGTTAAAGATTTCACGTCCCGGCACGTGAAAGCTGAATTTGAAACTTCGAAGGTGAATATCCTTTCAAAATTTTAATCTCGTAATTTTCCAGTTTCCGAGTGGTCTTTGAAACAAAACTTTCACGTGGTCATACATGAGACCTCAGCATACTTAGGAACTGAATTCGAGTTTGTGAAGCCCCCGCTTAGACAGGAAACATTCTTCTGAAATTTTCAGCCTCCTAACTCTTCTGGCTCCCGAGACAGTGATTTTTCTCGCCAAAACTTCCATGGGACGTTGAAAATTTGCGAAATTATGCATGGGCAGGGGATGTCACGCTAAAATTTCAGCTTCCTAGCTTTTGCAGTTCACGCGACAATTCCCCTACCAAAACTTTCACGAGGCGTACGTGGTACCCAGGAGTGCACGAAGGCTAAATCCAAATTTGCAAGGGTCGTACGTTGATAGAGGACATAGCTCCAAAATTTTAGATTCCCAACTTTCTTGGTTCCAGAGATAATAATTTTCTCCGCCAAAACTTTTGCGGAGCCGTACGTGTTACGCACGGGCAAGAGAAGGCAGAATTTAAATTTGCGGGGTCACGCACTCTAAATTTTCAACTTCCTAGCTTTTGTGG